TGTTATGAATGTCTTGAACACCAAAAAGATTTTATATTTGATCCTGTGGAGAAAGCACAAGAGCAGCTCAAAGTGATAACCCTGAATATTATCAGCCTTTCTTCCAACTTCTGGAAGAGAATAGATGAAAACAAAGCAAATCCGAATTTCTGGCCTGAAATTTTTCTTGGTCATCTTATGAAAATGCTCATCACAGAGCTGAATGTCTTGGAAGGAAGAAGAGGGAATTTGTGAAGCAAATGGACTTTTCCCCCGTCTTGATGAGACAATGTGATTTTAGGTACCTTTCTTTTTTGGGTTGGCTTTTCCTGTGTATAGTGCATTTCTGTGTGTTGGAATAGGATATAAGCCACCTAAGATGTTGAACACAGAGAAGATGGAAAAGTCTGGCTGTGATTAATCTATAAGACAAATTCAACTGCTTCTTATTTCTTCCACATTCTCTAGGACATTATTTATATATAGTAGCAAGACACCAGTAGCCAGTGTTCATAGGACCCTGGTAGAAAAAGAAGCACTGCAAATACTCCTTCCTCTCCTCTTTCATTTTCTTTCTAGAATATAATGAAAATTATATTGGTATTGAGTAAATAGTTGACAGAGATGCTGAATGTACTTACTTGTTTTTAGGTACAGAACCAAGCTGTATCTGTCACAATGCTAGCTCTATCACTCTACCACTATTTGAACTTTTGTTACCTAAGCCAATTTTTATTTCCTTCATCAAGTTGGAGGGGCAGCAAGAGCGGACACTGTTTTTTTACAAAAACAAAACAAAACAAAACAAAACATATGAGCTAGTATTTAGGAGCCAGATGCATACTATTACTATCTAATATTGTTCCTGAAAGCAATTCCTGAGAGGATTTACTGGTGTAATCTGAGGTAAAAGGGACTACAGTCCCTATGTAGAGCTGCTCAAGCTTTTTATTCTTCTCCTCAGTCACCTCACTCTGTTTCAAATTCCTGAATTTATTAGTCTAGGCAATTGCCTGTCACAATGGAGAGAGTGCTGGTTCTGGAGTAAGGAAGACCTGAGTTCAAATCCTGCCTCACATAGTTGCTTTCTGTGTGACTTTGGGCAAGGCACTTTCTCTCACTGTTCCAGTTTCCTCATCTGTAAAAGGGAGATAATAATAGCATAATAATAATAACTGGGTTATTGTGACGATCAAATAAGATATGGAAAGTGCTTTGTAAACCCCAAAAAGCTATATAAATTATATCTATAATATATGTGACCAGTGACAAGCTGTAGTATTTGACTTTGAGTCTATGTACATCGTTGATCTATTTTAAATGTTATAATTTAAAAGATCATTATTCTAATTTCTTTCCACGAACTCAAGTTTTTGTGATTACTTTCTTATAATTATGTTACATACATATGTATATAAAAAATTAAGTTATGATTATCTGGGTAACTTATTAACCAGGAATGCCTATTCTCTTGCCTTGAAACTAGATTTGCTGTCACTCATGCCTTTCTGATAAATAGTCCTTGAGCAAGCAATTAAAATCTTAATTGATTCAAGTCCTAGAATTTTACCTGCTTTCATGACATTCAGCTTATCCTGTTATCTACCCTTATTTTCTTTTTGAATGTTAAAAAGTATATTTAAAAAAAAACAGAACTTCTGGGCATGATTACATAGTGATGCTCTCATTCTCCATGAAAGTCATGGATTCTCTGTTGTTGTCTTAAGCTCAGGACCCTAATGAGACTTGTCAATGTGTACTTAGACAGAAGACTAACACTAGCAATAACGGAGAGTAAGATTCTTACCACTAGTTCACTCAGATTTTCTGCTCATTTTTTACTCCTCATTTGGTTTAATCATTGTTCCATTGCATCCAACTATTCATGACCCCTTTGAGGGTCTTTGTAGCAAAAATACTGGAATGGTTTGCCATTTCCTTCTCCAGCTCATTTTATAGATGAGGAGACTGAGGCAAACACAGTTAAATGACTTGCCCAGGGTCACTCAGCTAATAACCCAAATTTGAACTCAGATCTTCCTGACTCCAGGCCTGACACTCTATCCACTGTGCCAACTAGCTACTCCATTAGTCCTCATTAACAAGCAGAATGCTTATCCTCTTGGATTCTTTCCTCTGGCTACTGGCCCTATTTATTCTTTTACCCAGCATTGCACATAGCACAGTGCCTTGCATATAGAAGGTATTGAATTAATACTTATTGACTGTTTGACTAACTGACTTCATAAGCCCTTTACAAAAGATGAGAGTAAAGTAGTATAGTGGAATTGAGGTGGTGGGACTTGTGGAAGTGGAGGGTGGATAATCTGTGTATGGATGGAGGGTGAGCCATATACACAAATCACTGTGATGCAAGTTAGAATTTGAACAAATGCATGACAGGGTTTCAGTACCTTGAGAAACTGAAGGAGAGGGAACAGTTATAAAATTAATAGTTTCTGTTTTAATTCAATCTCCTATCTGTATTATCTTTTTCACCAAGTAAAATTCTTTCTCCCTTCCTCAGAGGAAGTAGGAAAATGTGGACCACCTCCACCTATAAATAATGGAGACATCCTCTCCTTCGCGTTAGCTGAATATGCTCCAGAGTCAAGAGTGGAATACAAATGTCAAAGATTTTATGTGCTACAGGGCTCCCAATTTGTGACATGCAAAAATGGATTCTGGACAAAGGAACCAACATGCCTAGGTATGTGCTAAATAGACTCGGTACATAAGGAAAATGTCCTCAGTGATGGATATGATCAGTTGGTGTTTACAGCTAAAATGTCACAGGATAGTATGATAGGGGAGTAAATCTCAATAAAAAAAAATATGCTTCAATAGTAAACCTCAAAGTAGTGTTTGACTAATACCAATGCTTGTTGCCACGATCAATGTCTCCAATGTACTAAGCCCTGCCATGCACCCATCTAAGAATTCTTTTTGTTATTCCATGGCTAAATGTATAGCTCAGGCTTTTCACTCCAATTTGATCCTGTCCTGGTTGTTGGGAGTAGTAATTTAAGAGAAAAAGAAATCATGTGTTTCCTTCCCCATAGACTCAAGGAGAACTCTTCCTTTTTTTCCATATTAGAAAATAAAACAAATTAACTCACCCTTACACCATTTTCTACACATTTTAACTTTTATATAGCCCTACGTGTATAATACTTGCTATAACTTTAATGTACTTTGCTATGTACTTTCAAAATGCAAAACTGACTGATTTGTATTTCATTTTCACTATTGATTTTCTTGTCCGAAAAAAGACAGACCTTGGAACAGTCACTTCCTGAGGAAGCTAGATGACCACTCCTCAAAGCTGTTAGGAAAAAAATTATTGCACATATTTAGCTGAGAATCGATATTCTCTGAGGTTCATTCCTGCTAAGATTCTATTACCTCTGAATTCCCTTCTTCCATTGATTATTTAGGAATCAGCGTGGATATTATAAAGAGTAAAATGCTGGTAATTTTATGGGAGGTTATGAAAGCACCTAACCTCAAGTAAAAGAGATAAAAAGTTTATTGAAGACACTAGACCTAGGTGATATTTAGATTTCAGACTGTTTGTATCTGGCTACTATTGAATAACCATTTTTTCTTGATTATTTTTTGAGTCTCTTCTGTTTTCTAAATATATGCTCCTATCATCTGTAACTTTTCTTTGTTCTTACTGATTCCTTTCATTTTTCCCTTCCCTTATTGCCAAATTCAGCATTTTCCCTGAGAGACTAAGGCATGAACATTTGAAATAATGAGCAGAAGATTCTCTAGGAAGGAATTACACTACACATTAGCAACATAGCTTCCAGTAGTATCACCAGGCAAAAGCCAATTGCTGACAGGGAGCATTTGCCTGCTTGAAGTTGCCCCAGAGTTAACAAAATCCTGATCCTCGGAAAAAAAGGTTATGTCCATTCCAGTAAGCCATCAAGATAGAAACAGTCTTATATTCCCAAAAAAGAAACAACCATAGCATAACCATATCTTAGTAATCCTATTAGTATCCAGTTACTCAAAAGGAGGAAAATGCATTTAGGAATAAAGATGCCAGAATGGTGCCACAATTTATTTAAGCATACAGTTACCTGGTTCAAAGCTATCTGAATAAATGTGAGAATATGGAACGAGCAATTTTTGTGAGAATGGGAATATCTAAATCAAAGAGAATGATCTTAAAGTAGATGCTGCAAAACAATAATAAAGAATTCTAGAAGCTGGGGCACATTCAGTTTGGTGAGATCTGGAGTAGGGATGAAAAACAGGTAGGTAAGTTCTAAGAAAGAAAGTTTGAAACAACAGAGAGTGGATTGTTGCCTTTTCTGCTTTCCCATACTTATTCTCAATGCATCAATCAATCAACATTTATTAAGTACCTTATCTACAACATGAGCAGCTAGGTGGTATAGTGGATAGAGCTCTGATCCTAGAGTCAGAAAGACTTGAGTTCAAATCCAGACTGAGATACTTACTGAGTGTAACTGTGGGCAAGTCACTTATCCTAACCTTGTTTGCTTCATCTTCATCATCTGTAAAATGAACTGGAGAAGGAAATGGCAAACAACTCCAGTGTCTTTGCCAAGAAAACCTCAAATGGGATCACAAAGAGTTGGACATGACTTAAGCCACTAAAGAACAAGAAATTACCTACAACCCTGCTCCCTTACTCTCTTTTATGCCCTGCATTTTTCTCCAACCCTAATTTGGGTATGGACTGATAAATACCGAGATAACTAATGTGGAAAGGAAGCACATCTTCTTTTAGATGTGGGGGGCAGAGAAAAAGTCCATTACACAGACTGGTTAAGCTCTGATCATGTGTTATCATTCAGAATTTAATTTCATATTATTTAGCATTGTGAATAAAAGAGAAGAAAATGACTTACATTATCACTGCAGAAATGCCTTTTATATTCCCAGTTATTTTGGAAAATGTAAGGTTGTATACACATATTATCATTTGCAATATATATTCTTTTCATCTTTCAGAGGCATGCACAACATC